CAGCCTCGTAATTCATCTCCCCAAGGACTTCATTCAGATATAAAAGCACCATGTAACTGGAAATGATGGATAAATGTTCACCCTTGCTTCCTGTAATGAAGCTGGAACTCTATTACAATCCTGGAACTGCACAGGTCCCTGAGATCGCTGTCCTGGAAATCAAACGCTTGGAGCCTTTTATATCAAGTCCATGCACCAAATATAAAACTCAGGTTTCATGGTCTCCTAGCCATAATCAGATGTATTCATACCTTAGTGGATACCAGACCCACAATGTCTTCCTCCTCCACACAGAGTCCAAATATATCAACTCCTTTTCTTAGGTTATGATAAAAATGAGGAGTAAATTATAGATGCTCTCTCCACCTTCTGGCAGGAAATAGGCTGCTAGACCGCCTTGCTACACCAGCCGCTAGCTGATGTCTGCAGATTAAACAATGGCTGCCGTTGCCTTCCTGAAAAGAAAAGCATCCCCAGAAATCTCAGATCTCTTTTTTTTTAGCTGGTTATTATGTCCAGCTATCAGAAGCACAAAGAAACCAAGTGGAAAAATTGAATCTGGCAGTAAGAGTGTGATGCATGAAGGCACACGACTTCCAAACCCAGAGAACAAAAATAGCTGCAAGAGAAAAGATATGCCTGAAAGAAGCTCTTTAATTATTCCTTTTCTTTCAAAAGCTTTGCCCCTGGCACAGCCAGGCTACCATCTCTATAGGGCGGCCATATGTGTTGCAGTAAAGCTTGAGCAGTGCAGTATTAGAGAGAAAGAAGCATCTTTTTTGGCTGTGTTTTCAAAGAGCTGGTAGCAGATCGATTGTGGCCAGAGCCCTGGGCACAAGGGAGTCTGTGCTTTCATGAGTCACCAGGATTTCATTTTCAGTCCGGTGAAGGAGTTTAGATTTCTGCTTGGATGCTAGTGGCTGCTCCCAGAGGGCTGCTCAAGGAAGCGGTTGGAAGAAGTGTTGGAGGAAAGCAAAGGACGGACTACCCAGCACTTACTTGTTCAGTCTGCTGGAGAAAGTGCCTTGGCTGTCGCTATGGCACAGAGGACTGAAATCATGATGGAGCACTGTTGCTGCTACAGAAATGCTACAGAAAATGCTACAGAACTGCAAAGTCATTTATTTAGCTGTGCTGACACTGCAGTAACCAGCACCCTGGGGAATCTGTTTTTCAGGACACTGACAGAACAACACCCAGTCTTCTAGAAGCCACCCATTCTCTTCTGCCAGCACTTGCAAGCTGACGCTTTTGAAGCTTATGAGGAACACTGATAATATTGCAAAGCTTTGGAATATTCTTGTGGGTGTTGTTTGTGCTGAAGATGGCCATACTGACATCTGAGTTTTCTGTAATTAGGGAGCAGAGATTTGGTTATATATCCTTCTCTGGAATGAAATCAATAGCAATTGTACGAAACCTTCCTTTTGGCTGAGATGTTGTTCAAAGGAACACTGCAGCCAGACTGAAAAGTAAAGAAATTCCTAAACACTAATAACCAACCAAATGTAATTTGCAAGCCAGTGAAAAGACCACCGTTAATTAAATACATCTGCTAAAATAACCTTTTCTGAACTGTCAAAAGGTCTTTACAGTAAGATCTGTTTATTTAATTTTCCTTTGGGCAAGTCCCTTGCTGGCAGTAGCATGGGTACCAGTTGTACACAGAACAATCAGGAAGAAAAGGGGTGCCAGGGCAAGTGAGCACTGCAACACAGTAAGGGAACAGAGTATGACATCTCTTTGCACTGAAGCAGGGACCCTCATTCTCTAACGGCATCAGTCTGTCATCTGACCCTTCTGTTAGAGTTTGCAATGTCCCTTTTGGCTTGAGTGAGCAGACGGGAGAACAGGAATTGCAGCGGGGCTTTCTCTAGTAGGTGCTTGGCTGGTACAACCTAAGCCACCATCTATCAGTAGCATTGCAGCTTCACGTTATAGGAGTCCCTGAGTCAGGCTAGAGCTTGGAAAGACAGTAGTGGCAATGCTGTGGGCTGGACATGGATTCATGTTAGTAATTTTCCATAATGTCTTTATTGTGTTTCCTTCTTTTCTGAGTGCCTGTGGCAGGACAGAGTGGTATTTGTGGAAAGCAAAGGCTGGCATTACAGTGTCATCCCAAGGCAAGGCTTGCTCTTAAAAGTGCAAAAAAGTAAATAGATGCACTATACTCTGTGTTTCTGCTTTTATCATAGAAAATTTTACTTGCTTGCAAACCTGCAGTGACTGGTTGCATCCCTTTGTATAAGAGAAACCGAGAGCCCTGCAACTGCAGCGAAGTCAGGCCTTGGGACTCTGCAGAAAAGTAATCCTTGCTGGGGACTTGTGTCAATGAGTTCCTACACAGATATGACCTACACACAAAGACTTGCTCCTATCATGGTGGGTGCAGATTTAGTTTCTAGCTATCTGCAGTTTTGAGGAACTTCTGGTCAAAAAGGCTATTTTGAATATGCATAGTTTCTTGCTGTCTTGCCTGCTCTGTCCTGGTTTCTTGCCATGATCATTACAGGTACAGGAGGTGGCCAGGGATCAAGTACACTCCTGAGCAGCCGTGCTCTATTACTGCAACTTCAGAGAGCCCAGGGCTTGCTCTGTTCGGAAGCAGAGTGCTCAGCTGCCCTCCTGTTTTGGTTGCTCGGGGTGGCTCTAGGTGGAGCATGTCTGTGAAATCTGTGTCTGAAGTTTTGGCCCCACCATCTTTTGTTTTGGGTGTCATGGCAGGGAAAAGGCTATCTAGTTGTCAGGGGCCTAGGAAGAGAGAAGTGATGTGTGGTGTGAGGCAAGGTGTAAAAAATGTGCCTAATTTAAAGTGCTCAGCAGATAGCAAGCTTTTTGTAAGTACATATTTCTCCTCGCATGGTAGGAAGTAGAGAAGCCAATTGTAGGCAGTAATTGTATTTTCTTGCATCCGGTATTTTTGAATGAAATCAGATTCCAGGCTGTCTTCTACGGTATATAATGGCGATTAATAGCCTAGCCTGTTTCCTCTGGATTTGATGTTCAGCTTATGTTAAGATGTAGAGAGTATTGTTTGCTGAGATGACATCAAAAGCTCTTGGATGAAGGGAATAGAGACACATCTTTTCCTCACACAGCATTGGCAGGGTTTTGGTGCTTCTCACTGCTCACAGAGCTGAAGAACATCACAGCTCATTTACGAACAGCAGACCTACCCCTTTTCTCCTTCAAACTCAGTTGTTAAAATAAACCAGATGAGAAAAAGGCAGCAGTGGAGTCACAAGTGGCCTGTAAATAGCCAGCATTCCCCTTCTGCCCTCCCTGGCAGGGAGCAGCATGGTCAAACCACAGGCTAGGAGGAGTTTTTAATGGAAAGGGACAGTGATGGAGGAGACACTCCTCTGCTTGTAAGTAATATCATCTGGGAACAAGAGCAGTAGAAGGGAGGACAGGAGTCTCTGAAGGAAAGTTATGGCTGTTATGTCACGGTTCTTGAATATGCAGCCAATTTAGATTCAACAAGACAGTTATTAGACCCCCAGCCTTTGAAGCCACAGCAAATGTTGGCTGTCTCATAGCTTACAGGTGGGGACTGTGCTCACCTGTGTAAGATATTATGCATATTTCCCATTGAAGGATGCTTAGAATAGATGTTACTGAGTGTGCTGTGCTACCTTGGTTATGTATAATCTTTGTAAGGTATGTACAAGTACCATGCTGTTGGCCTGACCCCTTCCTCAGCTTGGCAAAAATTTAGATTAAGACCCCAGCTTTGTGACCTTTTGGGCTTTCTTCTTAAATTTATCCCTTTTTCTCTTAGAAGCATGTCCCTTAGTGAAGGCAGTCACAGTCTTCATCATTCACTAATTCACTGAAGATACCAAGAGCCTCAGAGGCACAGAGTTACCGCATACTCTAACGGTTCTTTCAGGACTTTTGCTGTTCCCTTGGGTCTGTGGGTGTCCAGTCCTTTTGCTGAGGTAGCAGTATTGATTCATGTGGCTCTAAGTCACATCTCTCCCCTACTGTTCTTTCAGCTGGCACATGTTCAGTGCTAGATTTTTTAAAGCCTGAGTGTAATATTTCAGGAACCAACCTTTTAAATTACAAGCCCACAAACTTAAGCAGCTCTTTGCAGTGAAATTTGGATTGCATATCCTTGGTGCATAAGGGTGGTGTGAGGCTTACCACATTTCCAGGTGTGTGGTTAAAGAAAGAACTGCCCAAGTATAGACATCAAATAGCAGTGAGCAGCTCTGCAAGGGAATGTGCTCACGTTTACAGCGCTTACTGTTGGATTTTGGCCTCAAAAAAGTCATTTCATATCACATGCCTGAGCCTGGGAATGCCTCTTGCGAATGGCTGATGTCATGTTACTATTTCATTTTGTGAGGGAGGCCTGGTGACCTTTGCAGCTGGATTCTAATAGCCTCTTACTGTCACATCTGTCCAGTGACGTGGAAAGAAAACAGATCGGATAATCATGGAGCAGATTTATCTGTGTGCAAGCAAAGCCCCACGTGTGTGAAAGAGACTTATGGTGTCAAAAGGACAAAAGAATCAAGATGTGTGCCTGCTTGAGTGATGGTTCCTAAGGTTCAAAGGGCGTAGTTTGCTGTGTGGCTGCACTTCAGGCACAGTTATAGCCTCAAAAATGGGTTTTGGTGGTACTGAAGCAAGCAATCTGTGCTTGATGTGAATGGGTGGCTAAGGTGTGATGATGGTTATTTCTGTGTCACTTAGCATTACTACCAGTTAACAACATTGCCTGCAGGATCAGAACAAGGCCACTGAATGAGTTTGCTGTGTATGACTACCACAGCACACTTGAATTTCCCCATGACACCAACAGAGGTAGCATAATCTCCCTCTCTTTTCCCAGCCCTGTGGAGTTAATTCCTGATGAGGTGTGATCCTAATCCCGAGTAAGTCCTGAGTTTATGTAGCAGCAGGAAACTCCAAAGTGGGAAGTGTGAATCCTTCCTCCTGATCATCATAAGCAATCAGTTAATTATTTCTTTTTGCTGTTGTCATTGCAGGGCAACCATTGATGAAGTGGAAACAGATGTGGTGGAGATAGAGGCAAAGCTTGACAAGGTAAGATGGGGCAACTTAGCTTATTGGTTTGAAGAGGGACTGGTTAGTTCCTGCTTAGGAATATGGTCCTACCAGTCCTCTCTGAAAAGTGAGCCCACCTCAGGCTGTCAGGAAACTAATGTATAATATACATGGGGTTTGTCAACAGGACCATGTCTCCCTCTGCTGACAGGTACCTGTCAGGGCTCCTTTGTGGCTGCCAAAGGAGTTGGGACAAGAGGTCCAGACGGGCTCCTAATGCTGACTGATGGCCTTCTTGTTCTGGTCCTGGGTCTCAGGGGACTGACACTTCTTCTTCTGCTGTGGCAAGTTGTTTGGGTGCTGTCTGTGGATGTCTCCACCACCTTGCTGCTGGTATTAGGCTGTGTGGGGTAGGAGCCATGACGTGTCCACACAGCATGGGCACCACTTGTCAGCTCAGGGGGGTAAGGAGACACGTGCAGGTAAACAAGGGGCCAAATTCACAGTGGTGATCATGACTGCTGTCTGATGTTCAGCCAGGCTATGTGCCACAGCTGTAATCTGAGACTGGAAATATCCTCTCAGGGACCAGTTTGGCCATTTTGCATATACGCTGGTGATTCTCTACATCCTATTGGTAGTTTGGATCTAAGTCAAAGGCTTTATGATGGAAGGCGGCTTTTCCACCCCCACTCCTACTGATGTCTGAGACATCAGCCAAATTGTTTCTAAATGAGAACAGAGAGAAATGAAGAGGAGCCAGAAGAGCTATTGGCTTTTTATCTGCGAGATTTCCCAAAGCTACCAAGGAATAAAACTCCTTCATTTGATGGAGAAATGGGCTTTGTTGAAGTCACAAGCCTTAGGCAAAGCTATGTCCTATAAAACCTATTTACTAATCAAGCTGCTTGAAATGGTTATCTGCACAAATTAACTAGTCTCACTGTTGAAAGCAGCAAAGGAATTTGGGTTATCTGTTTTCCTCTAAGTTAAGGCTGTAAAGACAAAGCATGGGGTGAAAGTTGCTCTGATTCTAGCAGAACTGCTGTCAGTGCTGCCTGTAGTTAGACGACTTGGTGTGGCAGGAACAGCCTTTTACTGTTCAGTGCTTTGTTGCAACTCCATTTGAGCTCCTTTGGGTGATGACCACATTAAAACAATAGTCTCATGCAATTTTGGTCTTCCCCTGACAGCAATTATGGGGTGATATTCTGGTAGTGCAAAGTGGGTAGACATTTCATTCTATTTGCATGCATCATTTCCCCTGTCTGCTGCAGAGATGACCAGTCATGCAAAGTGCTGGCTCAGTCACTGTCAGCGACAGGCTGATCAGGCCTGGGTCCTGGGCAGGTGAGGCCGGAGTTTGCATCTGAAGAGCCACTGAAGTTCAGATTAGTTTCTCTGAGGATAACTTTGGACAAGATGTAGTCACCCCCCTTCCTAATATATCATCAGCTTTTCTAGGGCTTGATGTAAGTGTTGTTCAGTGGCACCCAAAGAGCTGGCATGACTAGTTCTTAAAGAGCAGCAAGCTGGCAATGACTGACTCTGTTTCTCTGTCTTTTACTGTGCCCCTGAGAACTTACTTTATAAATGATTAGGCTTTTAACACTTATTCAAAATGGAGGTAAAGGGTAGTGTAAATGATTGATCCAAGGGAACACCAGAGATTTGGGCTTCATTGCTATTTCAAAAAGATTTCCTTCATTCTGTCCTGTGTTCCATCTGTGAAGCTATCATTGCTCCCTTTGGGAGTGTGCTTGTGCTGAATGGCCTTCAGCTACTAGTAACACAGCCTTGGCCACGAGTGTTTGCACAGAGGCACGCTAGAAACCGCCACGTTGCAGAATAGGCTGGATTTCCTTTCCAGAGGATCTGTCCAAAGCCCTAGTGTACGTCTGGCCTCCAGATGTGACAGGAATTGCATCTGTTTGCTTTTCTTCTCCAGGCTTGGATGGGATAGTACAAGTCTGCTAGCATCCAATGCTGTTCTGTCAAATTGCGTGGACAGGAGAGGATGTGAGTGTGAAAGAGTGAAAACTGTATATACTATCTATACACAGATATACCACGTGTGACTACATATATATTTATACATTCAGATATACTTATATATTTTGACAGAACTGCAGACAGAGGCAAGCAAGCTTGTTCTGCAATGCTTGCATATAGATCAGCCCCCAAAGCCTTGTGGCTGCATAAATAAAACAAGCACCAGGCCCCAAACCAGCACACCGTGCTTCAGTGGGGCTTTGACATGAAGTCAAACTTGAGAGCTACTCATTCCTAGCCTGTAGGTGAGGCTGGTTGACAGGGAAAGCTTTCTAAAGACATTTTTCGTTAGTAAGATTAATATTCCTAGAACGCTTCTGGATTTTGAGAATGGAAAACTTCAGTTCCAACTGGTGTTTGTTATTAGCAGCTAAAGTTTTTTACTTAGCTGAAAAGCATAGAACAGTGATAATTAAAAAAAAAAAAACAAAACAAAACCCAAATTAAAAAAAAAAAAAAAAACAAAATAAAAAAATTCTGCTCAGTGGCCAGCCGTTACTGTTGCAAATCTCTTGGGCCTTTGGTTTATGGATTTATCTTAAGTTGTTTAACATAACCTTTTACAAGGAGCTTTGGCTGAAAGAAGATAGGCTAAATGCCAGGAATTCTGGCTAAGCTAATGTTCCAGTCTTTACAGCCAGTTTCAGGCATGCTAAGGCAGTTTACTGTAGCTAGGAAGTCTGGGAATGTTCCCTGCAGCTGTTAAATTATCAAAAGTTAATAAAGGCTGTCTGGAGATGTATGCCTGTGCTACAGCAAACTAATTCCAAAGTGAGGAAGCCACCCGATTTTGCTGCAAGTTCCAGGTAACTTCATTGGCAACCTCACTATAATAAGGCTGCTGATGAGAATCAGAGCATCTGTGGCTTGCTTAAATTTGTTAACATTTCTCTGAACAAAGCTCTCTCCAGATCCATAAGAAAGACTGTACTGAGTCACAGGCTGTCCAGAGGTGTGTGCTGTAATCCCACATGCTGCACCAGCAAAGTTTCCTTGGGGTGCAGAATTGTGGGAGTTGATTCATAGTTACCTACAGTCTTGATGGTTTAACCTGTGTATGAGGGAACATAGATTTTCACTGCCTGCACACCGCAGACACAGCTTAAGCGGTCCTGATTAGCTGGTTTATGGAAGACATGATATAAAAACACCAGGCTGCTGAATGCCGGCTCACCTTTATTCCAAAGTAAGAGCAAGGCAAGTCTCCACAAGTATACAGAACAGCCGGCTGGGCTCAGAGGCTCAGCAGTCCCAAAGAGCAGCATACTGCCAGCAGGGAGATGCTGGACAGTTTATCACTTCCACCCAGCACCAAGGAGTCTTACCACTCCCCAGTCAATCTGTGTGATCAGGTTCCTTTTATTGCAGTCCTGATGCCTCAGGATAGAGTGAACAGTAGAAACCCACTGGAAAAATGGGCTGCCTCGATTCATCTGTCCTCAGGGGGTAGCCTGGAACTGTTTTTCATAAGTGACAAGCAAAATGTTGACAGAATGACATACCCCAAAAAGTGTGATTTGCATCCCGTTCCTGCCACGTGCAGTGAGGGTTGCTAGCGTAGCCACACCAGGAAGGTGGCTGGCATCCTGTCCTAAAGGTCTGGGCCTGTGGTGTTGGTGCAAGTTAAAACCAGCCTGGTTGCAATTTGTTTTGATGTGATCAGCTGTCCATCTGCTCACACCTCTCTCCTCGTGCAGCTGGTGAAGCTATGCAGTGGGATGATTGAAGCAGGCAAAGCCTACATCACCACGAACAAGCACTTTGTCAGCGGAGTCCGGGACTTGTCGCAGCAGTGCAAGAAGGATGAAATGATTTCTGTAAGTCATCCTATGGGATGGAGCATGGGACACAGTGAGGGCTGGGGGGTGTTAAGCTTCCTGATGCTGTGAATGAACCATATGTCCAAGACCCTTACTCTGTTTAAGTAGCCAGTTAGTATGAGATTTTATTTTTGGAGGAATACAGAGACCATCTGATAATGCAGTGCTGAAAGATCAGAGTGAGATTCATTGTTTGCAGGGAGAATTGGACTTTTAAGAAGCCACAGTGCTGGCAAGGTTGTTGGAATCTAGGTCAGTAAGCATCAGTTATTTAGGAAATGCGGGTAACCAGCCTACACAAGCGACAGCTGACATGTTGATTTTGGCACTAAGCTGGAAAGGACAGGGAGCCTGTGGCTTCAATGTCAGACATTTTTGAAATGCCACCTTGCCAAATGGCAGAGTGGCTCTTCAATTGCTTAATGAGGGTCTCTCTCAGCCGTTGAACCCCTGGGAATGAAGGGCAGCTGCTTCTATTCACTGCCAGTTCTCTTTACCTTTTTTTGCAGGAGTGCCTCGACAAATTTGGAGACAGTCTGCAGGAAATGATTAACTATCACATGGTAAGATGCTGCTTCCTCTTGTCTTTTTGTGTGCTGATGGCAACCACTTTCTCAAGGCACTGATTAATGGTCTCTTGTGTTTGACTGCACAACGGTGGGGTCCATGAAAGCATTGTCCTTCAGGTTCCAGTCCCTGCACATTGTGTACCAAGAGAGCAGCAAAGGGCTGGGAGTTATTGTTGCCTCTTGCAACAATATTGAATTGGATTACCGGTGAGTCTGTGTACTCATAATGATCAGCCCTGATGCATCACATACGCTAGGAAATGAGATTTCCACAGGCTTGCAGAGGAGGTACCACTTAGTGAAAAGGTATGCACTGTTGCATAGGTGCCTTTTGTCTCATTTCAGATCAGAGATGTACAATGAATATGTAGCAGGGTGATGTTGGAGACCCCTTCATCAAAGGAAGAGGAGAGCTCACAAAGGTCCCACACTCCAGATGCCTTGTTCTTCTTTTTGGATAGCACAGGATTTTGTAGTGAGGACAGACAGGGTCCTGAGGAGCTCTGACAGCTCAGGATTCTAGCTGTTAACAGCTTGCACATATAATCTTGTTGCATGTATAATCTATTTGCTGCAGATTTGGAATACACTCTGAAGCTTTTAATTCAGATTTGTGACATTGGGACACTGGCAAGGGTGTGAATGGATCAGACCAAAAGGACTGCATTGTTCAGCTGATGCTGGAGCAGACTTGGGGAGTTGTGTGCAGCTCTGTGTTTAAGGATAACACAGGACATATTAATGCTACACTGAGGTCAAAAGAAGGAAATGCCCAGACAATGGCTATTCTCCTGAGCTGACAGTATCTCATTAACAGAGCCCAAGGAATTAGAATCTGCCCTTTCTTCATCCCAAATACGGCATCTGTAAACCTCGTAGAAGAAGAAGGTGCTTCATGCTTGGTGGCACCATGCCAGGCCCACAATTCTAAGTCTGTAACTCAGTAGGAGCTTAAAGCACAAGTGCTTTGAAGTGAAGGAAGCTTCAGGGTGTCAGCACTGGACTGACCCACTTTTGTACCACGATGCCCCTGTCAAAGTACATTAGGCACGATGCTTGCTTTTGGTATGTAAGTTAGCCGTGTGCAGCTGGAGAAGAAGCTGCATCAAGTCCCATTTAATTATTTCATGAAGCAAGTGGGAAGACTTTCCTAGTAAAAAATGATAGGGAAAAGAGGTACTGTAGACACAGCTCTCCTAGGACTGTTAGTATTTGGGAACAAACAACTATATGACAATGCTGTTTTTGGGGAGAGAGTGAATGAACCAGCGTGAGCATCAGAGAAAAGGTGTGTTTGTGTCAAAGCACAGAAAGTCAAACCCTGATTTTCTGATGCTGCTCAAATTCCCTCTGAAAACATAAGGCCCTTCTGCCAAGGAGCATATGAACCCCTGAGAGGCTACCCCCTCATTCCAGGGATCACATCACAGCTGCACTGATAGGGGCTGGGCTGAGGAGTGCGTGCGGCCCAGCCACGAGGAAGCAGCCCTGGCCAGAAACCTCTAGATGCAGAATGCTGTCTGCTCCGCTACGCCAGCTGTGCAGCTTCCCCTGGATCCCTGGTCTCTGCCAAAAGTGGCACTTCTGGGATTGCTCTTGCCTCAGCCAACTAATAAGCAGGAGGACCCTTCCCAGAGCTGTCAAATCCCCGGCTGATGTGGTATAACCCTTCCCATGCACCCCACCCTGTTCAGCAAGGGCGAGCTCTCTGCTACGTGTGACTCAGGCGTTGCAAAAGGCACTATTTCCCTACCACCAGCTGCATGCACAAGGGGAAACGTGCCTAAATCCTCCCTCCTCCCAGCCTTTGGAGAGCACCCTTATCCCTTGGTGCACAGCAGTGTGAATCCTTCTCCAGGAAATGGCTTTGGAATGACTGCTGCATCTTGGGTCCTCTCCGACGGCTGTTCAATTAGCTGAGTTATTTTTAGTGCCTTCTGCTGTCTCCTTTGTGTGTGCCTGTGCGTGTGTGTGTATGTGTATCTTGGCTCATCTGTGTCTGAGGATCTCAGCTACAAAACAGTTGTCAGTGCTTACTCTAGGAATGTGGCCAGGACAGTATGTACAACTGGAACAACTTAAAAAGAAGGGAAAATATCCCCAAAAATCAGTTGGAAAAGCTTGTTCTATAACTTTATTGCTAAAGCACAGGGCCCGGAGATGCCTTGGTTCTAGTTCAGCAAAATTCAAGCATAAAACCTTCTTGAATATAGAAGATGAACACACTGAGCTCCAGAGCATTCCCACCTTCCTTTTAATGCACAAGGAGGAAAAATCATCAAAGCAACCTTAGAGGACAGATGACGAAAGAGAGTGTTGAGTTCAGAAGAGCTGGAGTCAGTGTCCTCTGCCTTTTTTTGTTCGCTTAGCCACATACATTTGGGCTAATGCCTTACTCATGTCAAAGCAGGGATAGAAGTTAGAAACCTCAATACCTTTATGGGTCTGGACTATTGTACATTTATGTCTCAGCTTCCATATCTGCAAGAAGCATTTCAAGTGCTTTCCTGTCTCTGAGGGGCTATTGGGAAGACACACAGACTAATGACTAACAGAAGCTCTGCTAATTCATGCCAAGTAAATACTAGGATTGTCAGAAAGATGAATCAACACCTCAAGTAATAGAATTCTTGCCCAAACTGTAGAAAGGGATGAAACCAAGGAAGGTTGACAGACAGAAGAAGAGGATAGGTTTAATACTGAGGTTAGAGGTACAGGGATTCAAATTCTGTTGAGTGACACAGACTTCTAGGAGATTACACTGATATAATTGGAAACAGTGTTGGGCCCCTCTCTGATAATGAAGTTTGAGTAAGATGTACTCTGAGAGAGCAGCACTGCTCCATGGGGAACAGTGTCTGTGCAGGATTTCAACCACAGTCAACGGGCTACTTAGCAAACAGTGCAGGGAGCAGTTCTGTGTTGTCCCTTCCCCGTTCAGATCTGTGCTTCTTGCTTTGTCTTGGGGAGAGAAGGCAAAGCAATCAAATTATAAAGCTGTTTGTCCCTTGCAGAACCAAGTGCAGCAGTGCAGAAAGCACTCACACCTCTGGGTTAGTTCCGAGTTAGGAGACTGGCTTCCCTCTGGAGTTGCTTTAGCAGTTTTATGACCTCTTCCAGCCAGCAGAGACTGGCCATACCACAGCGAGAGGCAGTTCTGCCACCTCTCTTGTCTTCTCTCCGTTTTTAACCTTTTCCAGCACCCTTGGCATTCCTCCCTAGTGCTGGCTCAGGGGGTCACACAGGTGCAGAGGGCACTGGTCTGTGTCCAAATGAGCCAGGTTTTAGCTAGTTAAAGCCATTTCACAATGCAACCACGCAAACAGAGCAAACTCCTGACTGCAGTGCTAACTTGTGCTGGCTGAAAAGGCTCATGAAGCTGTGCTCTGGGGCTTCCCTGGACTGTACTCTGGAGGTGACTGCCTCTTCCCATTAAGTATTTAAGAAGTTTGGGCTCCTGGCTTTGGCTGGTCATGTTGACTGCCTGACGTGGCTTGCTTGGGCAGCTGTTTTTCTGGGCGTGGCTTTGTAGGGGAGACAGGAAAGGTTAGATGGCTCGGACAAACTGAAGTAGGCAATAATGACTAAGAGGTCCAGGAACTAATGCCTTTAGCTGGTTGTGTTTGATTTGACTAGTGAGCTGGAGAATGGCACTGTCCTAGCACCCCAGAAGACGTGTTTCTGTAACATGCCAACTGCTTAGCTGGGAGGCTGATTTTGCTTGCTCCTCTAGGGAAAATGGCCTTTCAACGTCTTGAGCGATTGGCTTCCTAGGATGTTCTGTTCAGAAACGTATGCTTAGTGACTTGAAAAAGAGCTTCCTACTGATGTTACAATGCTGACCTCTTGAGGCATCACTGCAGCTGCACATGTCGGTAGCAGCAACAGCAGAAGAGCCAAAGGTCCTGTTGGCTGCCACGTCGCCCCGGAGTCAGATTCAAGGCAGGATGCTGTGCATGTGTTTCTCTTGGTGGCTGCAGTGTGTCTGGGTGAATATTGCATTTTTCTTTAGGGGGCTGTCATTTCCCTCTCCTAACAATCACCTACAGCGTGTAGGTCTGCTGAATTCCTGTACTCAACTTTTCTAACAGCAATTCAGTGGTCCGATTCCCAGTTGTACTGATGCTACAATAGATATGTAAGGGATAAGAATCCCCAGCCTCAGTCATCTGAGACCCAAAATTTCAGTTTGTGTGGGAGGAAAATACCTGATGAGGAATGGCTGTGACTGCTCCCCGTGTTGCAGAAGCAAAATGCCCCACATTTCCCTGTTGACTCTAGGAGTCCTGCAGTTGTCAGCTGTGCTACGAATTTAAAAGCATCAGCTATTACTTCCAGTCCTTGTAAAAGTACATTGTTTAGGGTAAATGGCTCTTTACCAAACACAGGCAGGGCAGAGGTACAGGGTCTCAGAGGTATTTAGTTCTCCAAGTACCACTGGACTCAGTGAAATTGAGGCACTTGGACACCTTTGCAGTGTTAGCTTGCACTTCTCACCCACAAGTGAAAATGAAATCTTGCTCCTGAAAAATTCCTTGTACCTGAGATCCTGAGGGAGTGAGGTGTCTTCCCCTCACTGTGTAAACGCTTCAGTGTCCCAGAGCACTTCCCTCCAACAAATGTTATGATCTGTCCCATTATTTGTGCTGTTCTGTTTCTCCCCTACCTGGCAGGAGCCTTTGCCCCAACACAGAATGAGCTGACATTCTGCAGGAACTCCCCTGCCCATTCTCTGGCAAGTGCAGTTTTGCAGCACGGGGCAGAGCTGAACTGTCTGAAGGATGCTGTGTCACATCACCTTGTCAGGCAAGCTTCCATTTGCTGGTTAGAGGTGCACGATCCATGACAGCGAGTTTCCAGCTACCTCAGTGAGACCTCTGAGCAGCGGGTGGCAGACAGGGACGCCAGAGCCTTGCAGCAGCCTTCCTGCACAGCTTCCCAGAGTGAACCATTTCCTTTCACAGGAGCCTGAGTGGCACGAACTGGAATTTTGC